AGTAAATGTGGGGACCTTGAGGAGGAGCTGAAAATTGTTACCAACAACTTGAAATCCCTGGAGGCCCAAGCAGACAAGGTAGAGGCGGGTGGAGGGGCAGTGAGGAATGGGGGTCCTGCAGGGGCGGTGATGGGCCCAGGTCAAGAGGCGCTGGGGAGAAGTGAAGGTCTCCCGGAGGGGAGAGTACTGATGGAGTGTGTATGTCCCTAAAAGTATTCCACCAAAGAAGACAAATATGAAGAGGAGATCAAGCTCCTGGAGGAGAAGCTGAAGGAGGTAAGGATTTCCTTCCAAGTCCCTCTTCAAGCCGAGGCCGCCGGGGCAGGGATGGAGAGAAAGCGGGCTTCTGTGGTCACCTCCCCAATCCTCCCTCTACTCCCAGGCTGAGACCCGAGCAGAGTTTGCCGAGAGGTCTGTGGCCAAGCTGGAGAAGACCATTGATGACCTCGAAGGTAAAGGGACAGTCCCCTCTTGCTCGGGAACCTTTCCCCTGTCCCACCCATGAACTAGGATTGGACCACGCAGGACCCCACATGGGGTGGGGAGGGCCGGCCGGGAAGGGGCTGTTCAAGGAGTGACCATGGCCCCCTAGTGTGCTCACACGTTAACAGGCCTGGGGTCACCTGGAGAGCATGTGAAATGCAGGCTCCTGGGCCCTGCCTCACAGAGATGACCCACTGGGAGCCTGAAGAATTCCTGTTTCCAGCCAGCCACCCGGGATGCGGAAGCGGCTGGTCTGCAGACCCCGCTTTGGGCAGGGCTGACCTTGACAGTTTCCTCCCCAAGGGCAGCACGCTAGATAGAGCTACATCCCAGAGACTTCCCTTTTGATCAGCCAGCTGTTTGAACATCTGGGCTGGCATCACGGTGTAACAGAACACATTCTTGTAAACTAGATTTGGAGAAAGCCAGCATCCAGGTACTTGCTAATTGGGGGCGATTTCCCCCACTTTTCAACAACTTTCTACCAAAAAGAGATGGCCTCGCCCTCGCTGTCAGGCTTCAGGGCCTCTGTCCTCTGCCCACTTCCCTCTTCTCTGGCTTCTGGCCACCTCAGGCAAAGCTGCACGGTCGCTCTCTCCTCTCTGGCTCCCTGCCACCCTTCACGCTCCCCCAGCTTGTCCAGAGCACTGTGCCCCCAGGCCCCTGGGGGAGGCTGGGGCTCCTAGAGGAGGAACCATCTGGGGTGCAGAGAGGGGAGGAGGGAGCCTGGACAACAGTCCATCCTGTTCGCTGGCCTCTCCCACTCTGGCCTCGCTCGGCCCTTTCTGATTTCCGTTTCTCTTCCCTTCCCCACTCCTTCCTCTCTTTCCCTCCATCCCCTCTCCTCACTCTCCCTCCTGGTCCTCTTCCTCTGGACCCCGCCCCCCCACCCCCAGACGAAGTCTATGCCCAGAAGATGAAGTACAAGGCCATCAGCGAGGAGCTGGACAACGCCCTCAACGACATCACCTCTCTCTGAGCCCCACACGACTGTGGCCCTCGGCCCTGCTCTCTCCTCTCCTTTCCAGTCTTTCTCTAGGGAGGTGACAGCCTAGGGAGAGTCCCCATCTCACTCCCTGCCCCCACCGCCTCACCTGGCACTGGCTTCACCCTTCTGTCCATCTGCTGCCCCCACCAATAAGGAACCACCCCTCTCTGCCGCTTAATAAACTGGTACCTGGTCTCCATGCTGTTTTCCTGACCTCTGAAGAAGCACTGCCATCCCCCACCCCACCCCTCACAGAGCACTCCTCTTACGGCCTCCCACCACCACTGAGCCCAGCCACAAACACCGGGACCCCTTCCCACCAGGCACTACCAGTCTGTCACTGACTCTCACTACTGCATGTGGCCTGCGTGTCCCCCTTAAGCACTGTGAACCCCTACTCATGCCTCTAAGACACACATCTGGTCACAGACCCACCGGTCCCCGGAGCACCTAGCCGGGCCCCTCCCAGGATGGAGCAGAGAGGGAAGGGAAAGGGGGGTGTTAAGGTTGTGAAGGGTTAGGGAAGAAGTTAAAAAAACTGTATTGGGGAAAAAAAAGATATTGGATGCTAGCAACGTGGGACTTTCGCTACCGCTGCAGGTCTGTTTACTACCTCAAATCTGTCTGTCTGTCTGTCTGCTGCTGCCTCAGTTTTTGCCTTTCCTTCTGGTTCCAACTTTCTTAAAGGTGATAAAGGAACCCAAATGAGTAGATGACTCAGGCCACCCCACCCACTTCCGTGACCCCCGGCCCCTCCAGGAGGGTGCCTGTTCTGTTGCCCTTGTCCCGGTGGTCAGTCGGTGCCATGGGAGCCCTCCGCTGTTGTCCCGGTGGTCAGTCGGTGCCATGGGAGCCCTCCGCTGTTGTCCCGGTGGTCAGTCGGTGCCATGGGAGCCCTCCGCTGTCTTCCTGTCTCCTTGTCACCTCCTATCCGTGGTGTCTCCCCCTGCCTCCCCTCCTCACATGTCGCCTCCCCTCACAGAAACCTTGGCCAGTGCCAAGGAGGAGAACGTGGAGATCCACCAGACCCTGGACCAGACCCTGCTGGAGCTCAACAACCTGTGAGGCCGCCCTGCCTCCGCGTTCCGGAGCACGCAGCCGCCGTCCAATAAAGCGGTGTTACCAGCGTCACAGGGCCCTGTCAGCCTTTCTTTTATGTCAGTACTGGCATCAGGTGGTTTTCCAAAGTGGTTGAGAGGATGCCTGAGGAGACCCTCACAGAACCGGACCTAGGCCCACACTCTGGGCAGGGACATCCTTCTAGAAGGGGGCCGTGCATGGGGTGAGGGTGCTAGGCTTGCTGAGAGACCCCACTGAGGGCAGAGCGGCTGCCGTCTGTGGCCTCACAAGATGACAGTAGGCAGCTGTGCCAGGCAATTCATTCTGAAAGCAAACTTGCAAGAAGCTACCCAGATGTTACTTGGCCGAGGCTGAAAGTCCAAATGCCTCAGTGTGACTTTAAGCCCACAGGCTGCAACCTCCCTCCACACACACACACACACACACACACACACACACACACGCACGCGCGTGCGCCCTTTCTACCAGTATATCAGTCCTTTTTTCTCCCCTTCCAGACTCCATCTGGGTAGGCAGAAAAATGTGCCCCCCTGCCTGCCCCCCATCTTTCCACAGCCCAGGGAGAGAAGTCCGAGCCCTAATCTCTAAGGCCTGTGAATGTTAACTTTCATGGCAAGAGGGACTTTATACATGTGATGTAGGATGTTGAGGTGGGGAGAATATTCTAGATTACCCACATTTGCTCATTGCAATCACCAAGGTCCTTAAAAAAGGAAGGCAAGAAGGTCAAGGACAATTGAAGATGTGACAAAGGAAGTAAGAGACTGAAGTGATGGAAAGAAGGGCCGAGAGCCCAGGGATGAAAGTGACCTTTGGAAGCTAAGCAGGACAGAGAAAGAGCATTCCCCTCAGGCATCCGGAAGGAGCCAACGCTGCCAGCACCGTGATTTGAGCCCCATTTCAGGGTTCTGATCTGAACAATGAGAAGAAAGCGTTTTAAGCCACGACATTTGTGGTCATTTGTCATCACAACCATCTTCCTGTGGTCGTTAATAGATCATCCTCCTGATTTGAGAAACAAAAGTGTCTTCCACATTTTATTAGAAAATTATCTTTTTTAAATCGTCAGAGGTTAACAGGGAAGTGGTGTAACAGGCCAGGGCACCGTTTATCCAGGCCCCCCGCTGGTTCTCCTAGCTGGCTTCTTGGCACATCCTCCATGTTCAGGCTCCTAGGTTCCCATCTCCATGACCTCCGCTGGGTGGTACCTCGCCTTCCCTTTGGACGCGTCTAACTGTCTACACAGCAACAACGACAAAAACCCAAACCATCGCTGCCGAGTCAATGCCAAGCCAGAATCTTACCGAAGCAGCTTCCCGGCCTTTCTCTCATGCAGTTGGGGGGTTCAAACAGCCAACCGGAGAGCAACCCCACTCCTGCTGTCAAGTTGATTCCGGACAAAGTACAACTGCTCCCTTTGGTTTCTGAGGCTGAAACGCTTCACGGCAACGGCCAGCCTCATCTTCCTCCCGCAGAGCAGCTGGTGGATTCGAACCACGTGCTGGCTATTCAACCCTTAACTGAGTCACCAGACTCCTTTTTAACCCCAAACCAAGCTCACAGCCACCGAGTCAGTGCTGACTCACAGTAGCCCCCTGGGAGTTTCCGAGACTGTCACTGTTGACAGGAGCAGAGAGCCCCGTCTTTCTCTCGAGTAGCTGCTCGGTGGTTTTGAACTGCCGACCATGCAGTTCAATGGCGGCCCAATGCTTAGCCAAGGCCACCACCACAGGTCTCCTTTTTCAGGTGAGCAGTGCTGGGGAAACCATCTGTGCTGCCAGGGGCCCCAGTCAGAACAAGGAGCACAGGATGGGGGAGCTGCCCGCAGTTTAGAGGACTCTTCGGGCTTCCACAATCTGTCTAGCGGGCA